ACCGCTGCACGCGAAGCTGGAATGCCGCCGTGCTGCCCAGAAGATGGCTGCTCCAGCCCAACCGCGTGCTCAGCAGGGCTCACTTCCATTGGTAATTTATTGACATTCATCCAGCTGCACATAATAGACAAGGGGGAAAGGCCGCCAAGCGGCAGCTCCGTTGGTTGTTTATGCGGGATTATCTGCAATCCTCTGTTCCCCCTGCCTCCTGCACAAATACCTAGAGAGCAGCGCTGCGGCTTTGCCTGCCCATGTGAAACCCGCTGGGTTTCCGCAGAAGTGCTGTGGGTACTGCTGCCAAGATGCCACCGGAGAGCACTGGGAAGTCGGTTCCCCTTGGAAGGATGTAAACATTGCACATCTGTCCACAGCTGGCAGGAAACCGCAGAGTGTGGCTCTTGGCATAAGTTGGAAGCACACCATTAAATGATGCCGCTTAATCCAGCGGGCATCTCCTTGCAGTCGGCACCTTCCTTCTCCTTCCCACCTAACCCATCTGCTTTGGGTTAGGGAAACAGCGCTACGAGTGTCAGAACCGGCTGCGTCAGGGCGAGCTGTGAGTGACTTCCAAAAGCTGCCCGGCTGGGGCACGTAGCTACGGCGGGACAAAGCAGAGGCTGCTCAGAAAGGCCCATCGTATCAGTGCGCGTTCCAGACGCATCCGAGCGGGTGCGCCTGAGCCGAGGCATGAGCTGTCCCGCGGAGCTCAGGTCTGGCTCCAAGTTCTCCTTCCTGGATTCTCTCTGTAAAAGACATGACAGCTATTGCAGTCCCCGGGCTTCAGGTTGTGGCACCAAGGCCATCACCTCGATTTCAGGGCGGCTGGAGGGTGCGATGAGGCACAGGTAGCTGTTGTGCACTACGGATGCAGGTTTTATGCAGCTCGCAGATTTCTGAACGGTCTTGTGTGTTCTTGAGTGCCATCTACTGGCTTTCTGGTCCTTAGGTGCCTGGTTGTTGCCATTTTGGTGTTGTACTATTGTCCTTGCTCACAGAAGGCTCTCATTAGGCCAAAAATTCTGCATAGATGGCTATTAAAAAAATCTATTTAACACGTCTGTCTGTCAATCTCTTTAGGTAAAAACAGACAAGGCAACTCTGTGATTTTTGATGTGGATAAACCAAACTAAAATAACTGCAGAGGAGCCCAGCAGACCTTGCAGGCTGGGGAGGACAGGAAGGTACCTCCAGAACTGCCCATCCTTACGAGACAGAAGCCCGTGCAAGGGCTGCAGGATGGCAGCTGCTGTTAAGGAAGGAAAAACAATTCCTACCCTCTCCTCCAAGAGGAGGGGCTGGAAAACATCAGCTTGCTCACGAGAACTTAGTATGCATCCTCGTCACTGCCGCTTCACCTTCCCTCCCTCCAATTATTGTCGCACTTGATATTAACATGGAGTTTATAACTGAAGCTGAGTAATTTTTTGCAATCAGATTTTCTTTTTACTGTGGACTCTAACAGTAAAATGTGCTGTCCCCCTGGAGATGTGGCATGCTAAAAAAATAGCTGTACTGAACAAGGCAGGATTGATAGGGAAGAGAGGGCTGCTTGTCACACGCTGATGTTGAAAATCCTGCGTGTTGTATGCGGACCTCGGCACCAGGAGCATGGAGGAATTCCAGAAGGAGGGTGAAGCGAGGAGGTTTCTCACTTTGTTACCGGCTGAGGGTCCTCTGACAATCTTCTGGATCGCCCCGAATATAAGGAGGTGGTCTTGGCAAATGAGGGGATTGTCCGTGCTTGGACTCTCCCATAGCCTGCCTTCCCTCTGCAAAACCCACCTAGTTCAGGGGTGTTTGTGCTTCCCCTTCTTGCTGTACTTGGTTTATCTGATCTCCTGGGACCTGGCCAAGCTCATCCCCTGGCTTTGCTCCTTGAGAAACTTTCTCATCTTGGCTGCAGCAGCAGGAAAAACATTGCATCTCCTTCCTAAGTATCATCTGCCTCTGCTGCAGCATGGGGATAGTTTTAGCCTTGCTTGCAGGACAGAGGTTTGTTTTCATTGCTCAGCTGTTTTGGGGAGTACTTGGCCAAACCAGTCCTGAGCAATTCCAGGTAAATCAGGGAATCATCTGCACGTTGTTGGTGCAAACCTTGGTAAGGACACACACATCTGCGCTGGAGAAGTGACTGCCTGTCTCACTTTTGCATGTCAGAAGTGAACTGCGTGCAGAAGGCAAGCACTGAATCCAAACCAGAAAGCGAAATCTGTCTTAGAAACAGGTGCAAAGTTCCCATTAGTTTCGCAAGAGACTGCAATGCATGAGAGAAGCGCCACCGGCGGGGCTGTCTATGGTCTTTCCTGCTCTTGGCCCCGCTGTCCCCTATCTCCCGGCTGTCCCTGGTGGAAGGTGAGGGAATGTCTGTCCTAACAAGAAGCTCAAGCCAAGAAGCGTGAGCCAGCGCCGCGCTCGGTGCGGTCCATCCCTGAGGAGTGATTGCACGGCATTATTCTGTGTCCGAAAGCATGTTTTGCATATTGACATTCAGCAACGCTGGCTGTGTAATTGCATTTGCCTTGCAACTGCTATTTTTATATCTGGTGCTCTGTCCCTTGGAAGGGATGGATCATGACTGAGATGATTACAGTTTGCTCTGTGTTACTGGGTTATGAGGTAATCTCCGGTTTCAGAAAGAGATGAGATTCTATGTTGGATGTGGAGCGTACAGCAGAGAGCCTGGCGACAGGTTATTTTCCCTTTGGAGTGAAGGAACTTCTTTCAACTAAGGATGATATCTCGATGCCCCTGAAATTGCCATAGTCTGCGGCAGTGTCCCATGTATTTTCATAAGAGCCTGGCGACTTGGGCACAGATTTTCGTGGGAGTTTGGCACTTGCTACAGTAGTGCTTTTTTGGAAATGGAGCTGTGCCAAGGGCAAGAGGAGCCACTCTGAAAAACGTGACCCAAATGTCTGATGCTGCTGATCTCCCACCCCATGCATTTTTAAACGACTTGCCTGGTACGGTGAGCGTGGCTTCTGTGGGACTGTGACACTGACACCCGGTGCCTGCAGCTCAGAATCATTGATGTGTTTTGCTGCCTTATCGTATTGCAAGCTCAGGATATTTTTTTTTGCTGCTGGTGATGCTCCTTGCACGTTACTGCTTCCCCAGGTGTCTCATTCTCACTGCACATCCCTGTCTGCAATTATCACCCCCTGAGCTATGTTACTTGTCCCTTTCTATCCAGAAGACTCTCCTTTGGAGCTTTATTTTCCCTGTTTCTGCCTGGATCTCTCTGTGTTTCTTAGCTCTCAGAGCTGCTCCAAATTTAGCATCATCTGCAGGTGTAATTAATATGCTGTTTGCCTTTATTTCAGATCATTAATAAGGAAGTGGAATAAAAATCTTCTGCCTATTGATTCTGGCATGTTCCCATATATAGCATCTGTGCAGAGAGTGCTTGAGAGCCTAGCAGCCCGCCGGCTCCCGGTTTGCACAGCAGTTGAACCTCAAGTCGCTCTTCCCCTTTGCGTCCTTGCCCTGTGCGCCGCGGTGGTGCGGGTCTCTCCGCTCCCCTTTTGTCCAGGCTGTTTGCTCGCTGCTCTTTGCTCTCCTCCGCTTCTTCCCGTCGCTTTTCCCCTCTGTGCTTCCTTTGCTCCAGTTCAGAAGCGTTTTGTGTCAGCTGTGCTGTGCCGAGGGAGCTCGCAGTCGGAAACGCTCCTGTCGGAGCTCACACAGAGCTTGTTTCGGTAGGACCCTGAGCAGGGGAATGTGGTACCTGCCCAAGGGAGCCATGCGATAGTCCTTGCAGACTGCGGAGCCGAGAAGCGGCGCTGGGATGAGGGATGCATTCCCAGCCCAGCCGCACGCTCTGCTCCGCTCCAGCACTGTGGCTCTGCACCGAGGGCTCCGTGGAACAGTGTGGGACTGAGGTGAAGCTCCTCAGCGCAAGCGATCGGGAAGTGGCTCGGAAGGATCCTTCTCCTCTCCCTTTGTTTTGAATGCAAAACTGCGAGCTACACGTCTCCGTCTTACTTTTCACAACACCAAAAAAAGGAAGAAAAAGTGGAAAGATGACTGCGCTTGTGAAGAGGGGGCCGTGTGTTTTGCCTGGCTATCCTACCCGTGCGCCCTTTGGCGTGTGAGAGGGAGAAGGAGATGAGAGGACAGGGGCTGGCATCCTCCCACCTCTGGTTACAAATCTAAGAGGAGGTTTGGGCATGGATAAAGCTGTTCATGGAGCTTTTCTCCAGAGTGTAATCCTTCCATATGTTTCATAGAGGGGTTCACCTCAAAAAAAGGAGCCATTTAGGTAAGTAGTGGCTCTCATCTCATTTAGTTGCTGTAGCTATCGTTTCTATACATAATTAATGTAAAATCAAATGGTTTCTAGCACGATTTGGGGTTTGAGTTGATAATTTATTCCACAGAAGAAAGCTTGGGACTCATCTTTACACTGCAAATATTTGACTAGCTATTTATATGTTGGGAATTGATGTCCATGTAACATTTTTCAAAGACTCTGATTCCAGTAAGAATCGCATAAATCCGATCTGACCATGCAGTGCGTTTTGCTTTTGAGTGATAGGATTTGTTTCTGCTCTGGTTACCAGGCTCCTGGGTATTTTTTTTTTCCCCGGGGATGTTTGTTTCAGCCCTCAGAATTTATTTTAGGACTGTTCCTGCTGTTGTGATGCCTCCCCTGCAAAGCCAAAACCCAGCCGTGTCGTGTGGGTCCGAGCCCAGCCGCTGCAGCTCCGTCTCGGCCGGTTGTCCCCAGCGTGGGCTGGGGCTGGCAGCTCCCTGTGGCGCTGGGGAAGGCAGCAGGAGGGAGCTTGGTTCTTCACCTGGGAGAACCTTGGAAAGTCCCGTTCAGTCTGTGTCTCATGGGAGGCTTGGAGGACCGCTCCTGACCACAGTCTTTCGAGGAGCCTGGTGAGGCAGGAGAGGTCCTGGTGTAGCAGGCTCTCCCATCCTTCTGCTGCAGCACAGCACGAGTCCCTTCCTGTCCCAAAGCACAGGTCACTCACCTGCTTTCAGCTCCTTCTTGAAGACCTTCTGCCCAAGAGCTGCCTTGCCCATTGGTGGGACCCCTGCAGCCCTGTGTGAGGTAGCCCTGTCTCTCCTCTGCAGCTCTAGGCTTCCAGTGAAGAGGCGGTGGTAGGAACGGAGGGAAGTCTCCTAAGTGACCGCCTGGGCTGGGAGGTGCTGTTTGAAGGTCTGGACACAGGGGGGCACTTAAATACCCCAAGGCTCCCAAAATACCTTTCAAAATCCTTTTGTTGTGTTGTTTGGTGTATGGTCCTCAGGGTTTTGTAGGCCGAGCTGTATAAAGCACGAAAGCTGGATCACAAAGTGGTGTAAATCAATCAAATTCAGCACAGATGTTGATTTGGCCCACGTCTTGCCAGTCCATCTTGACATCAAGAAGAAATCAGTAGTTCTGTAATGTTGCATCTGCTCTGTGGCGCCTGTCTTGAATTCTCTTTTTGTACAACTGATTATGATGGATGTCTGGGCAAGTGCTTGGTCAAAGAAAGAGGCCTTTGCTTTGCTATGGGAGATGAACCCCCGGATACAGGGGAAGGGAGGCCAAGCAAACTGATACTTGGAGCAGTACCTCTGCTTTCATTTAATGCTCAATATCCTGCACAGAAAATGGCAGAGCAGACAGGCCACAATTCTACAGGAGGAGCCTGGAGCCTTGCGCTCCAAAGGTATCTGCAACAGCCCCAGGACTTCAGAGGAAACCGGGCTGCGAGTTAGTCATGGTGCCGGCGTGTTTACCCATCCGATAGTTACAAAAATAGATCTGTACCTAACACACGGAGAGGATGGCATGACTTTTTATTATGTACCTCCTCCCCAGGCAGAAGTCAGAGCTGAGCGGTAGGTTTCAGCCTGTTGCACTCTCCAGCACACGTGAGGCTTTTCAAGGTGCACGCTCACTGGAGGCTGTCCTTCAAAATTTGTGCTTGAATCTACTCTGGTTTTAATTTTACACCTTTCAGTTTTACACAATTTATGGCCAGGAGTGCACGGAAGCACACACGTGCTCCTGCAGCCTGGAGCCAGAGCACGGTGAGTAAGGAACGGGCCCTCTTCCTTGCTGCGTTGGCCACCTGAAAAAACACTCAAAACCGGTCTGCTTGGACAATTTTTTTAATTAAGGGAACAGGAAAGGACAAATTTCCAAAGCTGAGGGAGACTGAATGAATGCTGAGCTTCCTCTTGTGTTTGCCAAGAGAATAAGCTCTCACTGATAAGAGCTTTTTTTTCTTGTGGAAACTGTGACAGAGTGTTTTTCAGGAGCCTCCTCAGTTAAGTGACAGATCAGACTCAACCCGAGCCCTGCCTGGAGGGGGCTGGCAGAGCCCTGCCCTGTTAGAGCTGCTGCTGCCCTTTTGACACGAAGCTTCGCTCTGGGGCGGTGGCAAAGGTGAAGAGCAGAACCAAGTCGTGGTGTCACAGCGTGGAGCTTTGGCGCCGCTGAGCGCCCCGCACGCTGCCCCAGCGCCCTGGGAGAGGGCGCGGGTGGCAGGAGGCTGCTCCTGGCAAAGCCCCGGCAGAGCTGGGCCGACATCCTCATCTCCTGCCTGCCCGGCCTTGTCTTCTGTGTGCACCAGGCAGGGGCAAGAAGCATCTTAACGTTAAAGAAAGCAAAAATAACAGCTTGTTTGGTTTGGCTTTTGTCTTCCAGCGTATTTCTACTTCTTGCTGTCGGGCCTGGGCGTGACAGCAGGCGCCCATCGCCTCTGGAGTCACCGATCCTACAAAGCCAAGCTGCCCTTGCGGATCTTCCTGGCTGTGGCCAACTCCATGGCTTTCCAGGTGGGCTTGTGGTCACCCGTCCTGATTCTTGGCCTCCAGGCAGCTTTATCCCCTGTGAAGGCATCTCTTCAGCTTAGAGATGACAAGAGGAGGGAATAAAAAGCTGCAGCAAGACATTTGCTGCTGCTAACCCTGTGCTGGCTCAAGGGAGCACACAGCCCTCTCGCCACCCGCCTGGCAGTGCACGTTTGGCAGCCTGGGCGCGATAAGGACATCGGGGCTGAGTCCAGCACGCACAGGGCCGGGGCTCAGTGCTCCAGCAGCCTCTCTCTGAGCCAGGTCAGGCCCAGCTCTTCACAGGACCGTGTCCAAACCGCTGTATAAACTAACTGCATGCAACTACATCCATAAACAAGTTTCTTGACCCAGCCAGGCGCTTATAGCTGGATACATGAAACACCTTCTAAGATCAGGCTTCTTTTTATGCACCCTTATTTTACCTCTGTGTTATTTCATATTTTTTTATCAGTAGAATCCAAGTGCATTTGCAAAGAAGTGCAACCCTCTCTGTATTCAGATAGGGAATCCTAGGGTTCAAAACTTGACTGTAACACCAGGTGGTGGTAGGAGCCCAGCTAGAAGCAAAGTCTTTGCAGTGTAAACATACTACTCCTTTGCTAAGAACAGCTATGTGTCTCTGTACTAACATCATAAATTATCTTGCTTGGCTGCCATAGCCTCTTACGGTGCTGAGCTCCACAGGTGAGTTGGGCTTTGAATTTTGAGCCTTTTCCCTTTAATCTCTTGGGGTGATTTATTGCTCTTCTTCCTTGAGAGATGAAGCCAGTCCCTTTATCTGCTTCTGTATTGTTTGTTTTATCATCTTTCATTTACCTCCTTGTTCAAGCAGAGAGAATTAACCTTATTAATTCCTGCTCACATTACCAAGAGCCTAGTGCATTCATACAAGTATGTTGAGAAGGTGTTCAGTTTGACTATAACTCCCCTTTATTCTGACTCATATTCCAGCTGTTGTGCCTCTCTGTTCCTTGTAAAGCTTTACAAAACCTTTGCTCAGCATGTTGAACAACTGTTTTGAGTTTTTAAGAACCCCCTGGTACCAGCCTCCTGTTTTACAGCAGATTTTCTTTCATGCTCAATTCAAATGAATCTGTGTCACGCTGGATTGCAGAGGGCCTGCCTGTTGTGTTTTCACTGCCTTCTGCTCCCCTGTTGCTATGAGTTTTGCTCTCAGCTGTGTTGGCCTCATCATGGCTTTTTGCTGAGGCAAACACAGTATGAATCCCCGGCAGGGGACTACTTCAAAGTGATTTCAAACCACCTCTGTGTCCTTCTCCATGTCAGAAAGAAAACCTAAGGCCAACCCACACGTTCTGTTTAAGCACTCTGAAGCCTGCTCCTAGTTACCTTGACATGCATTACCTGCAAAGGTCCGTTTAGACCATCGTGAACGGCTGATGAAGGAGCACTGGGGCCCACTTTCCCAGCACTGGGAGGAACAGGTAGCCTTGGAGGTGTTCAGCCTTCCTGAGCACTGGAAACTTGGCTGAGCAGTTTTAACTTCATGTCACATGAACCTGTGAGGTGCTCTCCTTAGAGATGCCAATGGTTGTGGCAGTTAGCCCAGTGCACGCTAATGCTCGGAGCGTTCTGAACTGACCCTTATCCCTCCATCCAGCCTTCCTTAAGCTTGTGTAAGCGTGAAAGACTGTGCTTCTTACTGTCCCGTGTTTGTCTCAGCAAAGGGTAGTACGTGGCTTAGGTTAACTTGATTCCCTGGTGGTTACAAGCTCGCTGTTCCAGTTGGGCCGTCTCTCCCCTGGCATCTGCCACCATAACCTTGTTCCATACACCTGCTCCTTGCCTTCTCCAGGAAACAAGCTGTGATGTTTGGCTGGGCAAGGGGTCCTTGGACATGACCTGTCAGCACGTGGAGTTGGCTGGACCCCAGGTTCTTGTCGGGGGTTGCTCTGCAGGATTATTAAGGGACCCACTAATAAAAATCTCTTGGCTGTGTCACTGTCATAGGGAGATGCTGCCGCTTGCTGCTTCAGAATGGATAGACCCTTGTGTTTACTGGAAATTTGATCAGGAGTGGCATGTTCCTGAAAAACGGCTGCTATTAATACACTTGGAGCACACTTACACGTGCGGTACTCCAGTTGTCTGTAGTATTTACTGCCAACAGCTCTGGCCTTTATTTCCTCCTAGCTTCTCTGTTCATAATTACATGCAATTCTGCTGTTTCACAGCTTCCTAATGCTTTCATCTGAGGAATCTTTTTTCTTTTTTTGCCAGCCATGCAGGTATTGGCTGTTTTAGGAAAAGTCAAGCTAATTTCTCACACAGTTACTTCTTTGACCTCCTTATTTGCTGTGCCACAATTAATTTTATCAAGGACTCTTGTAGCATAATGATCAATAGTCTCATCTGAAAGATCATTTCTGTTTAAGAAAGAGGACCTTTCGGACATGTGCTCCTTGCATAATCTTGTTGTATTTTTAAATGACTTAATCTTAGTTTATTCCAGTCTTCTGGATACTCCCAGTGAAGAATAAATCTGCCACTTGAAGCAGAGTGGAGGCTTTCATTCCTTTTGATTTCTCTGTAGGAGAAAAGAAAAATGGAAGCAAGGTAAAAATCTCCCCTTCTTACTGAACAGTTGGGTGACTTCCCTGGGTTTGCCTTACTCCAACTTTATTTTGTACTCTTCTGCAGCAGGATAGTTGATGGGGCAGGGATGTACATGAATGCTGACGACAGGTCTCTCCTTCCTCACCTCAGGGACTTTCACAGCTTGGTGCTAAAGCCATCGGCTTCCCACTTCCCTGCTCCAGTCCACCTGCACAGTTACTTCGGCCTCGTCCATCAGCCGCAGTTGACCACAGTGTGGTGGCAGTTCAGAGCTGGGACCGCTGAGCGCAGCTCTGGCCAAGCTCAGGCCCTTTAGGGACTTTTGTTCTTTTGTTCCCTTACAGGATCTGGTTCTTAAGCTGTGGTTCATCCTTTCCTCCCTGCAATCTACCTAATTCCATTTTCAGCCACAGGGCATTTCAGCGACCCGTGTCTGCTGACAGCTTTGGCAGAGACAGGGCTGAGCTTTGGATTGTATCTCATCTGGATCCACTGCTGAGTTGGTGTTATGGGACTGAGACTGCTCTTCCAGCCTGTCTGTGAATCCACGGCTTAATTTCCCATAAGATAGGCACATCTCCCCTGATAACTCACTCTCATGCTCTTGTACAGATCTCTGCAGACAGAGCAGTCATTTAAATGAGTGCTGCTTTAAATGGGGAAGACATGTCTCTCCAAAAGGCAAAGCACCTGCAGGCTCCTGTTCAGTTTAGCTCAGCGTGTCACAAGTGCTGGCCCATTTTTAGCTCTATTCCTCCCTGGAGGGAGTCAGTGGTGACCAACTGTGACCAGCTTAAAAAGGCATGACAGGACTGTGAACTTCTGCGCGGTGGTGCCCCCGAGTCAGATATCCCAGCCCTCTGTGGCCAGGTTGTCAGGGAAGAACATAGGCCTGCATGCAGCAGCTTCATCCCTTGAGTGTGACCTTTGGAAGGCTGTAAGACTAGGGCAGCCTGATGATAGTTCCCAAGAGGATGTTGGCCCAAGGCCTTTTCCAGCTCCAGGTTGTTTCCAGTCCGTGTCACTGGTACCCGGAGCATGTGCCGTTCAGCGTGGACAATGATGGGAGCATCATGATGTGCAGTCTCCCTCCAAAGTCAGGGTCCCTCAAATGACTTTAGCTGATAACCTTTGCTGAAAAGCATCAGTGTGGGCTTGGGGGCTATTTCCACGTGGGGTGGGAGCAGGGGACAGTCCTGCCAAAGCAGCGCCCGGCCTCTCTCCTCTCACCCCGCTGTGCTCTCCCGCTGTCGTGCAGAACGACATCTATGAGTGGAGCCGAGACCACCGAGTGCACCACAAGTACACCGAGACGGATGCCGACCCGCACAACGCGCTCCGGGGCTTCTTCTTCTCCCACGTTGGCTGGCTCTTGGTGCGCAAGCACCCGGACGTCATCGAGAAAGGAAGAAAACTGGATTTGACTGACCTGCTGGACGACCCTGTCGTCAGGATCCAAAGAAAGTAAGTAGGAGCACTTGGCTGGCATGTGATGCAGCTTGGAGGGATCCTTGCCTGGTTTTGCCTTCCTCTTTAGTCTCATCTTTCCCCTTTTTCCCCCTACCACGATATCCTTACCACTTTTCCACCTGCCTTCTCCTGCTTGGCTGGCGTGTGATGCAGATTGGAGGGATCCTTGCCTTCTTCTTTAGTCTCATCTTTCCCCTCTTTCCCCCTACCACGATATTCTTACCACTTTTCCACCTGCCTTCTCCTCATTCAGCTGTGTTGCTGAAGCTTGCAGGCTCTTTGCAGGAGGCTGTGGTGCCAAGCAGAGCTGCTCTACGCTTGTCCTTGTGCTTTTCCAGAAAGCCAAGGCTGGCTGTCAAAACGGCCACAGCAGAAGCTGCTGGGACCTCAGTGTTCTTGCGTGAGCAGTAGAGCAAAGGCTGTAATCGCTAACTGTCTTAAAGCAAAACTGCACCTTTCAGTCTGCTAACTTATTTTTGGTACTTGTGAGCCAGCTCAGACAAAGTGTTTCCCCTTCCAGGACCATCAGTCTTCATCTTTATGCTCACAGGACGTTAATCATCTCCTGTGAGAATTAGCACTGACCAAGTTCAGCTTGTTACACGCGTTGTGAGAGGTGGGAAATGAGCTCCCTGCTTTGTCCTCTGCATGAGTAAAGACATTATAGGAACAGGTGAAGGACTGTGGCAGCGAGTATTTGCTCCAGTGACTACAAACCATGTAACTGGATATCTGGGCATTTTGTGGGCAAATGGTCAGCTGAGTTCTGAAATACATGTGGGTTTTTTTTGGTGTTTGTTTTTGCATTGGAGAAAGCCGCACACTGTCAGCAGAGATGCTGCAGGAGGGAGGAATTCACTCCCATCAACCTGTTTTGTCACTTGTACTGGCTCCTTTGTCAGCAGTGGGTGGTTGCAAAGCTTCCTTTGCAGTTTGCTACAGTAACTCTTGGCTGTTTTGTTACCTTTCTCAAAACAACAGCATCCTACGAAAGCACCGCTTTTCTGCAGTGATCATGCTGCAAATATCAGGTATTGATCAAGCAGATTTGGTGCAGAAAAGTTAGGCTTTACTCAGTGTCCCTGCTCTGGATATCAGCATTTCCTGTGGTATCTCAATCTCATGCTCTTTTTTTTTTTTAATACACATCTCTGCAGACAGAGCTGTCATTTAAATGAGAGTCTTGGTTTAAATGTGAAAGATTTGTGCCTCCAAAAGACTAAGCACCTTCACGATCCTCTTCAGTTTAGTTCAGCATGTCACAAGCAGTGTCCCCTCTTCAGTGCTGTATTTGTCCTCTGGAGGGAGTCAGTGGTGATCAACTGTGACCCTCTTAGAAAACAGACACCAGAACTGAGTATCAGTTGGTACTGATACTCATTTGGTAACATGGTACTGCCCCAAAGACAGATATCCCAACTCCCGGTGGCCAGGGCATCTAGATATTTGCCTTTCCTCTTCTTGGAAATTAAAAATCCACTTCCATCTTCTTCCTAAGGATAAAGACCCTGAAGTGGCAAAATTTCTGTAGTTAGGTACCCATTTGGATGTGAACTCTCATGTCCTTATCAAAGACCTCAGTCTGAACTTCTTGCATCTCACAGAAGGGCTTTAATCAGTGCCTGATAAGCTGTTTTGATAATTTTTCTCATTTGTCTCAGTGCTGAGTGGGAAACGATTTAACTCTGAGTTTTCTAGAATGGAAACATTCTTTTCTAGCTTAATTTCTATCCTTGAACTGATGAGCTCTGCCAGCCTTATGCAGGGCCTATGCAGGGCCTTCAGAAGTCAGTGGGAAATTGTTCTTCAGTTTTTCCCTTTAGAAGAGCTTTGCTTCAGGTGAGTGAAGAAAGAGCCATAGGAAAGAGCTCTGGAAATGCCTTCTTTTGATGATGGTCTGTGTAGATCTTCATCTGGAGCCCAGCATGTGAGATCGTCCTCAAACAAAACAAGTCAAACAGAGCTTGCCAAGGACAGGATTAATTGACTTCATACACAAGATTATCAAAGCTGTCTGGCATGTTTTAGATGAATTATGTTCATGGAATGTTTTTTTCTTACAGAAATGTTGCCAGTACTAATTTTTTTTTTTTTAAATATCCTGTGGCCATTGATTGAAACTTGAATGGAGCTTGAAACAAACAGTTTTTGCTATGTGAACAACTTGTGACAAATGCAAAGTTTTAGTAACCATTCAGTTAAAACCAAGCCTTGCTCTTTCTCGTCCCTTCCAGAAAATCCTCAGTGCTAGCAGGGGTCTATTTTAAACCTGTCAGATGGGAACAAAGGAACAATTTTTCAGCTTGCACTTTATTTTTTTTCTCCCTTCACCCATGGACAATCCTGTTGCCTGCTGCTCCAGCAGTGTGTGGCCACTATCTTTTGTGCTGATGGCCTGGGATGGCTCTAGGATGTAGGTAAATCTGGGCTGTAAGGACAGAGGAGGGCTTGACAGGGAGGACAGGGCCACTGTGTCTCTCAAGCTGGGGACACACAGTAGCTGCTTAGTAAGACACAGCCCCCACTTATTGTCTCCTCCTGTTGTCTTGCTGCTCTCTGCTTCTGAGCCCACTTAACCCATTCTGCATGAATTGCCATTTATTTCCTGTCGCTCTCTTGGCTTTTTCCTTCCTACTTCTTGCAGAGCTGCTCCTCTGCTCTGTTCCCCTTTGCATCACTCCTCTTGGCCTGTTGGCTCCTTTTCTCCTCATTTCTCCCACAATGGTCTTTGCTCTTCACCTCTGCGCTCCTTACATCCTACGCTCTTTCCTGCTTTTTCTGAACATATGGCTTTATTTTTACCATAAAGCTCCAATGTTGGTCTTTCTTGACAGACTATTCAGCCTCTTCCCTCCACTGCTCTGTGTGTTGATTTCATTTAACTCCATTTTTCCAAGTATATGGTCACATGCATTTTCCGGGGTTGGCTAAACCCTTCAGAGCCACGTGTCTCATTCTGTGGCTTTGTTTTCTCCCAAAACATGGGAAGCAAAACTAGACCTCCTTTTTAAGAGTGGAGGACCAGGTTGAGACTAGGAGGGATGATTTGTTACTGGTTGCATTGAGTGCTTATTCTGAATGTGTCTCAAACACCTATCTCCCCTGTGCACGGCCAGAACAACCACTCAGTTTCTTGCATAGGAAGGGTGATTTTTTTTTTTTACTTGAAAGGAAGGGAAAATATGTGTGCCCATTGTGCTTTACAGGAGGAAAATAAAAATAAAGAAAAAAAAAAAGTAGAAAAAAAAATAATAGCCTTCTCATTTAGTGGATATATTGAATAAAGTCATAACACAAGCATAGTATAGATGCTGAAAAGCTAAAAGACAATATAGAGCTTGTGCCTTGTTGCACTGAAGCTGGTCCAAGAGAAAATTGCACCTCATGGAGCTGATGCTGCTGAAGCCCCAGGCCCAAGGCTTTTCTTGGTGCCAACGATGGGCCCTCCGGGGACACACACTATCCAGTTTGTCCTTCTGGACAGGTAGGTTGGGACTGGCGCAATTTTCACTTCCGCAGAGGCAGAGAATGTCTCCAGTATGTGGTTATCCTCCTTCCTCCCAGCAGAGCCTTTCACTCGCTCATCCTGGTCACGTTGGGCAGCAGATCTTGGAAGCCAGGCTGTGGCTGCTGTTAACTGCTGAGGTGTCTGCTTTCCAAGGCTGGGAAGAGGGATCAGGACTGCATTTTAAAAATGAAAACCTGCCCATTAGCTTCCTAATGGCAGATTGTTGCCAACAAGTGCTTCTATGTGTTGTTTGGAGACTTCCACGGTGTTAATGATGCTGAAATGTGTGTCCAAAGGTAAAAATTGGGATCACTTGCACTACCTTTTTTTCTAAAATACTGTTTTTGTGACATTAACCTAACTTATATATTAAAAAAAAAGCAAAATACAAAAAGTGTTTTGAGCTTAAAAATATGAATATAGCTAATATCTACTGGGATATAATTGGTATTTCAGTTTGACATGCAATGGGTTTTTCTCCATTCTTGGAGTGGTTCATTTATTCATTGCGAATCTTCTCCTGGCATTTTTCCTGGTAGCCCTCTCTGCTGTTGTTCCCAGCACAGTAACGGTGTCCTTTCGTTTCCCTATAGGTACTACAAGCTCTCCGTGGTGCTGATGTGCTTCGTGTTCCCCGCCTTGGTGCCGTGGTACGTGTGGGGTGAGAGCCTGTGGAACGCCTACTTCCTGGCCTCCATCCTGCGCTACGCCGTCTCGCTCAACACCACGTGGTCCATCAACAGCGTGGCTCACATGTACGGCAAACGCCCCTACAACAAGACCATCAATCCCAGGGACAACATCCTGACAGTCATGGGAACCCTTGGTGAGTGCCGAGACAGGTCCCTGAGGCTCGGGCTCCGCTGAGAGGTTTGCAGGCTTGGAGAAGTAGCTCCCCATCCAGTCCACTGTTCACGGCAGTGATCTCCTGCTGCTGCTTTCCATTTTGCTGTCCCATGCTTTTTAACTTAGGCATCACCTCTTGTCTAGTAGGAGCATGTCTAGTTTTCTTCTGTGAGTGTTGAGGTGGGCAACATCTCCTTTCTCCTGGGAAACAAGACCCAAAGCACTGGGTGATGTCCATTGTGGATGTGCCCCAAGGGTTGGATCTCTTGTAGACAGATGTGACCAGAGCCTGACCTGGTCTGACTTGGGAAACCAGTGCTGGGTTGTGCCACCAAGTTTGTCTCAAAAGACCTAAACCTGCTCTCCAAGCAGCCTCCAACCTCTCTCTCTCTCTCTCCTTTTTCCAGGGGAGGGTTACCACAACTACCACCACACCTTCCCGTTCGACTACTCAGCCAGCGAGTTGGGCCTGAAGTTCAACCTAGCCACGTGGTTCATTGACTTCATGTTTTGGTTGGGGTTAGTTACTGACCGAAAACGGGCTCCAAAGGAGATGGTCCAGGCTCGCAAAGAAAAGACCGGAGATGGCAGTCGCTGAGAAAGCAACACTCCTCCAATTAATTCACAAGGAGGCTCCTTCAGGAGAAGATTCAGCTCCAGCTTTGTTTTTCTTTTCTTATTAGCTGTGTTATATCCAAACTTCAGAGTAGTAAGTGTAAAAAAAAGTTACATATTATTTAATATTGGAGTTAAGCATGAGAGATAATTGCCTTTTGTCACTGTAGTTCCTATCCAAATACATGTTAAATTTGGCAGGTCTGAGGAACTATCCATCCTTTCAAAGTGCAGTTCAGGGGAGTATTTGTTTCTAGTATTAATCAAACATGCTTTTGAGACATGTTTCTTGGAGAGGACAGGTCAGGACCTAGTGTGCTGTGGAAACTACAAACTAATGGAAAATGACACCAACAGCTCCAAGAAAAACAGGCTGCATAAGGAGAAGAAACAGCCTAAAATCAGTCAGACACTTATTTCAAAATCTGCTTGCTTTTTTATGTTAGCCCTGTTAGCCAGACCAGTGTGCTGTTCTTTTTGCTAAATATGAAAACCATTTACTGCTGAGCAGGCTTTTGTGTTGAAAATTAGTCTTTTTATGGGCCAAAATCCAAACGGATGCCAATGTTGAGATGATTCCTTTGTTGTCGTATATACACTGTAATTTGTACAAGTACAGAGCTCAACAATGTCTTAATCAAATAAAGCTTTGATCTCAATGTTTGGAGACCTGCGTTACATTCTGATCAGCCATGGCCATCATAGCATATGTATTTTAGCTCCTGTTGCACAAGAGGCCTCTTAATTTCTTTTTTTCTGCCTTTGACTATCGGATCTTTTAACACTGACCTTTACAGAAGTCAGAGTCTCTACTGATATCTCAGCTGCATGCAAAATCCATCGGTTTCTCAACAAAATACGGAGATGGTTATGTAGCTTCTGAATTTAACAGGTGCCTTGATTTAGGAAACAGAAAAAGGAAAATTAGAAAAAAAAAAAAAAGAAAAGAAAAAAGAAAGCATGTGGAATTAATGGGACATACAGCCTTTTGTGTTAGATATTAACCAGTGCAGGAGAAAGGCTTTGTACCATCAGCATTGGAGCATTTTTGAAGATAGAGGGCCTGTATTTTACTTGTCTCTAAGGTCGTTACTCTGCCCTTCCTGAGAGGGAATGCCCGTTTTGGGCTTCCTCGGCCCCACACTCCAGGCAAGGCAGTGACCACAAGGTAACTGAGAATCAAGTCAGATATTTTCAAGAAAGATGTAGAACTAAGAAAAAAATAATAATGATTTTCTTCATTTCTTGCTTTCTATATGATACCATATAATATAAAATAGTTATCTTTATTCTGTATTTCATGTGGCAGGTGCTTTAAGGTGTTTCTTTGCCATTAATGACGTGTAAACTCTTGAGTGATTTACAATAAACAGTTAGGAGTCAGACTGGCCGCTGCGTTTCCTTTTGCAACGTCTCCCAAGATGAAGGGCTGCTGTGTTATATGTCAGCACTACAGCAGCGTTCAGCGTTGTGCGTTCCCGCAGCCACCTGGCAGAGCCCGTTTCCAAAATCCCAACCTTCCTCAGCATCAGTGCAGTCTCCTTAGTGGGAGAGGAGTGCTGTCAAACCTGAGCGTACTAAGACCTTGGATTACCTCTGGCTTAGCACCCTAGCTGAAAAGAGAAGGGGGAAGAGAAATTTCAAGCTCATATAAGCCTGAAAGGAGACCGTGGCAAGGTCTAGCACGGGAAATTTGCAGTTTAATAATGAAATGTTAGTCAAATGTGACTGCAGAGCATTACTCTGAATAGAAGGATTAAATGTTTTGTTTGGATTTTCCTGCACGTTTGTCTCTCGCTGCTTTCCAAGCGCAGCTGAAACCTGCCCCAAGGCCTGGGTGTGCCAGGAGGCTGCGTCTCCATGTGCACGCGCTTGGAGTTGCTTGGAGTCGGGGCCTTCTGACAGACAGGGAATTAGACATGCACATGGAAGGAGATGTCTCCTTCTAACATATACAGTGCCTATAGGATGCCAGGGGCCGAACCGGTCTCCTCAAAGCAATAACACGCCATTTGGAAACACCGTTTTGGAGCATTTCTTCCTTCTTCCTGAGGTTGGCAGGCCCAGGGAAGAGTAGCAAAAACTACTGGGAACCTACCATCAAAATGATGTGGGTGATGGATCTGGACTCGACATTTGAGTGGAGTAGTGAAACTTTATTTAACTGGCTACTTACTCATTTTACTGGTGAAGTTCCTTCTCTGGAGAACTGGAGGAAATGAAGTTTACAGGGAACTTGCATGCAGATCTTAAAGTTAATCTGTGCCATCATTTTAGATCTCCCTTTTTTGTTTTGCTTTTTGTATTATTATTACTTAGACTTCCCCAGGCTGATTCCTGTCAAGCATATGGTATAAGAATAATTGACCCTATGAAGAGATCCATGCTGTTCAGAACCTCTCTGACTACATAAATATTTTTCCTGCAGGTGAAAGAGCAGCAGCAACATGGGATCTGGGGACACGCGAGTATCCTATCATGACTGATAGGATATTTTTGAGAAACTGAAAGTAGGCAAGCTGAGGGGGGAGGGAAAGGCTATTCCATCAAAACGTTTTGTCTTCAAGCATGCACTTCATGAGTTCCTGTCCCTTTGAGATCTCCAGATAAAATTAGTGGGTAGAGACGATTGAAAAATGCCAGTTATCTATTGCAGAAAAACCACATTCCCATTTCAAAAAAATACCTTGAGTTATGGTAAAACAAAACCGAAAGGAGAAGCATGGAGGGTTTGTGGGTTTTCTCTTTTTTTTTTTTCCTTTCTGTTTTTGGAAAGCACTTTAGACATGCTCTTTTCTCTGCCTGCAGAGCAATTTAATCCTAGACGGGGCGGGCAGGCCTGTGCCTTCTTGCAGGACCACGGTAGGATGCTCTCACTCAGGGAAAGTCTCCCTGTCCCCGCAGCTCCGTGGCGCAGCCGCTGCACGCGGGGAAGCCCTGTGGCCTCTGGAAGATGGGGCCATAACGCTCTGCCCTGCACTCGAGCAGCTCTCAAGGTGGCCCAGCAGCCACGGACCCCATGAGCATCGCGTGGACAACGGAGAAGCACGTAAGGGCTACTGACTGGTGTGCTGGTCATGGGCTGGGCTAAGCTAAGAACATGGTGATTTCTTAGGGCTTTTTTAAGGCATCGTGATTTGTCATTCTCTTGTCCTCTCTGCCCGTAACATTGTTTTCAGCACCTGGTATAATATCAAGTATGCCTGAGATCAAGAGCTGTCAATTCTTTTTTGCACATTTTCCCCTCTCGTGGCGTCTTGCTGTGCTTACTAAGGGTTTCCAAGCTCTTCCTTGGGCCTATAACAGCAGCTGGCTCATTTCAGCCTTCTCCGTGCAGTCTGCGAGGTTCTTGGGAAAGGCACTCTTGGCTCAGGAATCAGGTTTGTTCCCTTCCCAGCGCAGAAAGCCAAAAGCAGGTCACCTGCTTTCTGACATGTGGCAGCTTACGGAAACGCTAAGGCAGCAGTGGGACTTGGCAAGCTCATTAAAGGAAAATTTCAGTTATAACTTAGAGCATGTACTTGGCTAGGCAAATATTGATGAAATCCCGTCAGGCCTGTGTATAAACACAACAGTCAGAGAGCAGAGTGAAGCATGTAAAAATGGAGCAAGGCCAAGACTGTGGTTGTTCATGACACAGGAGTTCCTGGGCTTGCTCAAACCTCATCTCTGCCTGGCCTCCGTTAGCTCTCGAGCTTCAGAGCGCTCAGTCCCCGGCCCGGCTCTGGCACACACTGGATGTCTTTGGAAGGGAAAGGCTGTACGTGCTCAGCCCTGGGCTGGGGCTCTGAGCAACTTCAGAATACCTCTGTAGAGGCGCAAGTCGTTGCATGGTCATGTAAGGACATTCGGGCAGCTGTTGGGGTTTCCTGGGCCTTTATGCCACATTTCTGCTGGCTCGCTTCAGTAGTCTCATGCTCTCCCTTTAAGGCAAAAATATCTGCGTCCCTTATCTCCCGCTGCAGCTTGTAAATACAGCGTAAATGCCCTCCCTTGGCTCAGGCCTCTGTAGGGCTGATCATTTTTCAGACCCCGTAATCAGCAGCCAGAACACGGCTTTTTTGCCAATAAGCCTGACAGATGGGAAGTGCAGTTTAACTTGAGGTTCTGCATCACGCCAATGGGGCGGGAGGCTCCCTGGCATAAACTAATCTGAAAAGCCTTGTATATCCTCACAAACCCAAGAGAGACCATGCAAGGTTGATTAAAGGAAGGTTGCTGGGCTGTGGCCCCCAAAGGCGCAGCTGGGCTGTAAATAGCAGCTCTCCCTGGCGTCTAGTTCAGCTTCCAGCAGCAAGCGAGCCTTGTTATCCGTAATGAGCAGGGCCCTGCCGGCTCGTGCTTGGGCGAGCTCAGCAGAGATGCGTTACTTTTACCGCAGCTCGGGGGCTGCTTTTATGCTTCCCCTCCTGCCTCTGTGATTTAAAGGCTCATCTCAGGTTTTCCTTGCAGCATGCTAAGCAGGCGCTACGCAGGCACTCCCACAGTGGTTTACGCAGCAAGGAAAATCTGCCTTGCGAATGCAAAGGGAAGAACGTGCCCGCGTATGAGTTTGCAAAGGGCTTGCGCCAAACAAAGAAGAGAGGCTAGTGCCTGGTTAGTACACATACTCTCTTTAGGATGTATGTATTTCCTGGGAATGCAAGCGGAATGCTAGCAGTTCCCCTTCATTATCCTTCCCTCTATTTTCCCCCATTCTCTCCCAAACAAGAGTAGCCAGGCAGCGGTGGTAAAATGTACCCAGGGAGGGCAGCAAGCAAATGGGGAACTCGCTTGGTTTCTCTCTGAGCCCGAGCGAGGTCTGCCAGGGGCTTTTGGTGCTGTGGCTGTCTTATTTTTCACATGAAAATATCCCCAAGGTTGGCTCCTGCTACTCTGCGTCGCGTGTTATTTCATCCCCAGCCTTGCAGACACAGGGCTTGGGACTGTTGCTGCCCGCCTCCTTGGCCTGAACAGCCACAGATAACGGAGCCAGTGCGAAATCGGGTCTCTG